CGTGGGGCTTGAACTCTGGGCCTGGGCGCTGTCCCTCAGCTCTTCAGCTCAAGGCAAGCGCTCTACCACTTGAGCTACAATGCCACTTCCGGTTTTCTGGTGGTTTATTGGAGATAGGAGTCTCACGGTCTCTCCTGCCCCGGGTGGCTTTGAATCGAGATCCTCAGATCTCAGCCTCCTGAGTAGCTAGGATTACAGGCGTGAGCCACCAGCGCCCGGCTCCCAGGATGAGATTATGGGTCCAGTCTGGGATCCCTTGAATTAAACCCCAACCCCGATCCATCCCTTTGGGGGGGTCTTCCAGCCTAGTCAGTACCTGCTGCACTGTTCTGGAGGCCCGGCTCCCCCTCCTGTCTGGTATCAAGACTGTCCTTTGAGTCAGTGTCACTCTGCGGACAGAAAGGTGATGATTGAAAAAGGCATCAGGCTGACTAGAGCCTGGAGGTCAGAGGTGAGGAGTCAGAGGTCACAAGCCAACTTTGGCCCTCACCTTCTCACTGATATTCAGGGGTGGGGACTTCTTCACCAGGGTCAGGTAGTAGCCAGAGCCCAAGTGACGCTGTAGGAAGAGTGGAGACCCACAGCAGCACAGACGGCCACCTGCCACCATGGCCACACGATCTCCCAGTAGCTCTGCCTCATCCAGGTGGTGGGTGGAGAGAATCAATGTGCGACCTGGGGGATGGAGATCCCACCCCTGTGAACCACCAGGCCACCTGGTCTTTTCCCAAGTTGTGGTTCTCTGGTAGGAAGTGCAAAACCCCTATGTAGGAAACTCCTATTCACCCTGCAAAGCCCACTCCCACCACTTTCTTGTCAGTAAGTCCCTCCATGCAAGCAGAATGCCAGGGGACCTCAGACCATTCCTAACTCTTACCTTCTCGGTATTTGAGCAGTAGTTCCCAAATACTGCGGCGGGAAGCGGGATCTACACCAGCAGTAGGCTCATCCAGGATAACCACTTGGGAGCCACCCACAAAAGCAATGGCCACAGACAGCTTCCTCTGCATCCCCCCTGAGTGGGGACAGGGTATCAATCTCAGTTTGACCCTTCCTCCTCCACCCCTTCTACCATTGCTCTTTCTTTTTGTCTGTATGTGATGGGCCTGGAGCTTGAACTCAGGGCCTGTCCCTGAGCTTTTTTTGCTCAAGGCTAGTGCTCTACCACTTGAGCCATAGCTCTACTCCTGGCTTTTTGGTAGTTAACTGGAGATAAGTGTCTCATAAGCTGGGTGCCAGTGGCTTGCCTGTAATCCTAGCTACTCACAAGGCAGAGATCTAAAGATGGGGGTTCAAAGCCAGTCCAGATAGGAAAGACCGTGAGACGCTGATCTCCAATTAAACACCAGAAAACCAGAAGTGGAGGTATGGCTCAAAGTAGTAGAGTGCTAGCCCTGAGCTAGCACTCAAGGGACAGTGCTCAGGCCCTGTGTTCAAGCCCCACAACCAACAAAGAAAAAAGAAAGACTCTCACAGACTTTCCTATCCGAGTTTGTTTCAAACCACAATCTTCAGAGCTCAGCCTCCTCAGTAGCAGGAATTACAGGCATACGCCACAATGCCTGGCTTTGTGTTGCCCCTTTCACCCTCCCAAGAGACCTCAGCATCCTGGCTTCCTATTATCCTGTCTCTGTTGAGGTAACACTCCAGGCTGCTCACCAGACAGGTGGCGTGTCTGCGAGAGACGCTTGGGGATGAGTCCTACATCTTGCAGCAGACGTTCCTGCTCCGGGCCTACTGAAGCTGCACTGAGACCCTTCAACCGGCCATAAAACCACACGTGCTCCTCTACTGTCAGCCTGTAGCCAGGGGTGACCAACAGGGTCCCTCATGGTGAGCAGGGTACCCCAGGATGCCCGCTCCTTCCCTCCACCATGGCATGCCAGCCCCACCCAGCACACCATGACGTACATGTCAAACAGCACGTTGTACTGTGGGCAGATGCCCAGGTGAGGCCGGATGGCCGCCATGCTGGAGCGCACATCATGGCCCAAGACAAAGGCCGAGCCACCAGTGGGTGGAAAGAGGCCACTCAGGATAGACCTGGGGGTACAGAAGTCTCAGGGCAGCATCCCTCCACAGAGAGAAGAACCGCCTGCATTCACATTTACCTTCTGAATGCTCAGCCCTAAGGGGTCTATGTCCCTTTACTATTAGTAATTGTAGTAATAGTAGTTGTAGTAGTAGTGTGTGCATGCGCGTGTATATGCTGGTTCTGTGGCTTGAACTCAAGGCTTGAACACTGTCCCTGAGCTTTTTTTGTGTTTGTTTGTCAGTGGTAGGGCTTGAACTCAGGCCTGGGCACTGTCCCTGGGCTTTTCTGCTCAAGGCTAGCACTCTACCACTTTGACCCATGGCGCCATTTCCGGTTTTTAGGCAACTAACTGCAGATGATTCTCAGACTTTCCTGCCTGGGCTGGCTTTGAACTGTAAACCTCAGCTTCCTGAGTAAAGTTAGGATTACAGGTGTGAGCCATTGGTGCCTGGCTATGTCCCATTTCATAGAGGAGAGAAACTGAGGTTCAGAGGAAATGTACTGAGCACATTTTGTGCCCCAAGGGGCCTGGGGTTCCCACCCACACTGGATCTGAGGCCAGGGGAGGGAGGAGGTGGCTGGCTCACAGTGTGGTTGTTTTGCCCGCTCCGTTGTGACCCAGGAAGGCAGTGATGTGGCCTTGGTAGAAATCCAGGCTGAGTCCGCGCAGGGCCGGCTGTGCACTGCCAGGAAACCGCTTCTCCAGACCACGAATGGAGACTCCGGGGTTCAGGCCAGGTGGAGCCTCTTCTACCAGCACTGTGGAGGGAGAAAGGGAGGGCCAGGTCATCCCCGGGATCCTGGGGGTCATCAGAGCTGGTCCCTGTCCCCGTGGAGGGGGGGAGGGTCTGTCCCAGAGGGCTGAAGCACATGTATCATCTAGGAGCTAGGGTATCCACAGAATTGAAATGAGTATTTGCAAACATCATTGTCCCCCCCTCACCCTTTTGGGGTGTGTATGTGTCTGTGTGTGTGTATCAGGTTGGGGGGGGATGAAAGAAAAAGAAATAATTTCAGGACTGGGAAGGTGGCTCAGTGGTAGAGCGCTTGCCTTGCATGCCTGAGGCCCTGGGTTTGGTTCCTCAGCACCACATAAGCAAAAAGAAAAAAGCTGGAAGTGGCGCTGTGGCTCAAGTGGTAGAGCGCTAGCCTTGAGCTGAAGAGCTGAGGGA